GATTTCAATTAGTCTTCTATCTATTGCTTTTAGGACTTTATACATTCACCAAACTTTGTAATATGAGATCGACAAAATGTAATTTTGAAGCTAAGTAAAATCCTTGACAAGAACATATTTTAATATTCTCACATTTCGTATTTGAATATAAATGTTCTTTTAACTTCATACCTTACAATGTAGTAGATGTGTGTAAGTTGCAAATAGCTAATGCATACAGTAAAATCTCTATATATTAATAATGTTGGGACCGGAGGATTTTATTAATTTATATAGATATTATATCGATAAATTAATAATTTATTAGTTTAAAGAAGTTTTAACGTATATGCATAGTTGACCTTCAAAGTTCCAAATTCTTTGAATAACTTTAAGTATACATGCATAGTTATTGATGAAAATTAAGTTAAAATACAAATGTACTAGTAGAATTCCATGAATACAAACTCAAGTGGAAGTTGGAATGACTTGTTTAAATTAATTGGTTTTGGAGAAGTCAATATATATATATATATATGAATTATATATATATATATATATGAATTATTTTTAATAATTATTAATTTAGAGTTTCGTTGGGGCCAATATATATCCACTAGGATCTCAAAAAATTATTATCTTATAATTTTATTATTGGGTTCCAAATTTTTATCGGTCCCAACTTGGGACCGGACAAATTATTAGTTTTAGCGAGGTTATTAATTTATCGAGTATTAATTTAATGAGGTTTTACTGTATACGACAACGCATTAAGTTCGTATCTCTCTGAAATCTCTGTCGATCGAAGAAAAAAAAAACAGGGAAGCATCTGGCAGTCCCCTCTCTTCTCGGTTGGCCGCCGTCTCGCAGCTGCTTAACCTCCAGCCTCGGACCAAACCGATGGCATCCTTTTGGCCTCTCGCTCCACATATTTGAGTCTGGATGGGGACCCCTGCTCGTCCTCTCGCCACCGAGGGGGACCTCCTTCCCAGACCACGGTTTTGGGTTCCTCCGGCATGGCTTGTCGGGTCAACTCCCAAGGCGTTCATTTACCTCCCGATTGAAGGCTATGAGAGCTCTGTTTTGGTCTGAGACTTGTCTCCTCGCCAAATCTAACTAGCCGCTAGTGTAAGTTGGATTGTATAGTTTTGGGGTCTTTATTTTGTAGCTCTCTTTTAGTTGTTTTTTTTGTTATTGTGGAGTTTATCTCGTTGCGGGATCTGGCTCGTGTTGGTCCGAGTGGTGTTTGCGGTGTGTTCACAAGAAGCAGGTGAGGTAGTACTCTATTGCTAGTGTCGATGTGTGTGTGTGTGTGTGTGTGTGTTTTCTTCTTTTTGATGTATTTAGGTGTGTATGTGTTTGTGGGTGTTAATCTCCATTGTTGGAGTTTGCTAGTCTCCACTTGTAGGAGTTTTAGTTTTTGTTGTCCTTGGAATAGGCTTCAAACATACCCATTTCAGCTCTTGTTGTCAGAAAGCTAGGACCTCTATTTCATTTTGTTTTAGTTTTTAGTCTCGTACACTTCTTTAAGTGCTCCTAATCGACCTTCTTGGTGGATTTGTATGACTAGTTAAGAGTTAGATTTGGATTTCACTTTGTAAGTTTCTCTCTTGAGGCATGAAATCTATCGTTTCTAAATAAAAAAAATGTGTGTAAGTTGTAACTCATATGTCCAAATAGACATATTTCATAAAACAATACTACATGTCAGCTGTATTAAATGTTTGATATTACTTTTCAGTAAATTTTGAATATAAAAGTTGTAATAATAGAAGTTTGGTGATTGCATAAAAATAGACTCCCACATAAACAACTCGTCGGCTCTCTCTCTCTCTCTCTCTCTCTCTATATATATATATATATATATCTCTCTCTCTCTCTCTCTATATATATATATATACACACACATATATATATTAATAGTATTATGAATTTTATTACAAATCACTGCAAAGTATTATAATGTCAAATTTATAGATGTGCTAGGGTTAGAAAAATTTTACTTTTGGTATCCAAAAAATACCCTATTTTTGTGTTTGTTACTTGCGGTTCCAAGTTCCAACTTAATATCACTTTCAATCGAAAATCGTAATAACTAACAGCTGCCATCTTTTGTAGCTCGTCGTGTCAGCCTCCAGTGGCACATTTCAACGAATCATATTCCATTTTTACATCCTCAACTCGACCTATCTAATGATACATACAATTTCAACATATAATACTTCAAAGTTTATCAAAGTTGTTATAGTTTCTTTTCTTCATTGTCCAAAATGTCCCTTCAAGTTCGACTCAATGCTACTGTAGATTTGATCACCAATTTATTTGATGAAATGTATATGTATGGAAAACCAATTTTTTAGAAATGCAGTGATGTCTCCCGATTGTGAATCAAGTCTCTTAAAATCCCGTGTGAGTCAGCAAGAACCACCTTGTAAACCTATATTCTTTGGTTGGCATATTATTCGCTATTGAAAACTCCATTGATGACCAGGAGACATCATTGCATTTCTAAAATAAAGTTTTGTATACATATATTTTCATACAAATCCAATAGTGAGATTTCGGATAGCACTTGTCAAACTTAAAAGAGCATTTTGATCGAATTTTTTTAAAAAACTTAATGAAAATTTTGACGAACTTTGAAGTATCGTATAATAAAATATTAGGTGCTGCTAGAAAAGCCGACTTGAGAGTTTCAAAATGATATATTGTTTGTTAAAAACGTTGAGAAAAAAATTCTAGCTACATTTATATTTTTCAAACAAATCCAACAGTGGGATCTATTACAACACTCGTCAAACTTTAAAGGCAGTTTGACTTAAAAATTTTAAAAATTGTAACATTTTTTTTTTTTACAAACTTTGAGGTATCATATAATAAAATCTAAGGTGTTGCTGGAAAAGTCAACTTGAGAGCTTCAAATAATGTATAATTCATTGAAATCCGCCACCGAAGGAGGCATCGACGGGTAGCGATAACCACTTGTTTAATAGAAATTTTAACAATTTGGACCATTATTTTTAAATTTTTTAAAGATACAAATTGATTAAATTAAAAGCGAAAAATAACAATGTTAGTAGACTTTTTTTTCCAACATTAACTATATTAATAACTAAAAACTCAAAAGAGTACAATTGAGGTGTCAACATACACCACTGGAACTATAACAGACTGGACCAACCCCTCTTGGAATTACACGGGTGACCAAGGGGTACAAACTCCATACAGAAGACACAAGCTACCGCAGAACAAGAACTTGATAAAGGAGATACACACTCCATATAGGAGACCAACATCCATAAGTAGATGGACTAAACAAAATGAATCAAAAGAAAAATAGAAACTACACACACCTAATTAACAAATAGAATAAGACCTCCCTAAACCCTACAGGTAAAACACACAGTCACCAGAACAGGTATTCGAGCCAAACCTCGTAGGAAAGAAACCCAACAAAGCAGCAAACCAGAACCGCAGATCCAAAAACTGTGACCAAACTTGATTCACCTAGACAAATCTGGCGAGGAGGCATTTCTCAGCCTAAATCTCACTTCGAAGATCTTGGGAAGAGAAGTGGATGACTGGAGAATCCTCAAACCGCGCAACTAAAAGCAGGCGCCCCCACAGCTTAAGGCCAAAAGAGAGCCTTCTACCTGAAAAGGCCGACGAACAAGAGGTCAGAGAACGTCTTACGACCGACACGAGGTAGGAGACTGCAAGGCAAACCGACGGCACCCACCCTGGTCGGAGAGAAGGCGTCACGTCGAGAATCGCCATCGACCCTCTCCCAACTTAAGGCAGTAGGTGGGGCAGACAAGGCGTCACCTAGCCAGAACTGAGGGGATTCGGGCTGCGGAGCCGCAGACTGCCGACGGGAGATGGGCAAGTTGAGAAATCAGAGGGCCGAAAATTTTAGACTACTTTTTATTAAATTGATTAAATTATAAAAAAAAAAAATAACAATGCTTGTAGACTTTTATTCCAAATGTTAACTATATTAATAATTGAAAACTCAAATGAGTACAATTAAGGTGTCAACAGAAACCACTGGAACTATAACAGAGTCTGGACCTACCCCACTTGGAATTACACAAGTGACCAAGGGGTACAAACTCCATGCATGAGACATAAACTACCGCAGAACAAGAACTTCATAAAGGAGATACATACTCCATATAGGAGACTAAAATTCATAAGCAGATGGACTAAACAAAACGAATCAAGAGAAAAACAGGAACTACACACACCTAATTAACAAATAGAATAAGACCTTCCCTAAACCCTGCAGGCAAAACACACAACCACCACAACAAGTATCCGAGCCAAACCTCGTAGGAAAGAAACCCAACAAAGCAGCAAACCAAAACCTCAGATCCTATGACCAAACTCGAATCGCCTAGACAGATCTGGCGAGGAGGCATTTCTCAGCCCAGATCTCACTCCGAAGATCTTCAACGCAGGGGGAGAGAAGTGGATGGCCGGGGAATTCCCAAACCGCGTAACTAGAAGCAGCCGCCCCTACGGCCCAAGGCCAAAAGAGAGCCTCCTACCTGAAAACAGCGACGGACAAGAGGTGGGGAGGACGTCTTCCGACCGGCACGAGGTAGAAGATTGCAAGGCAAACCGACGACACTCACCTTGTCGGAGAAAGTACGTCACGTCGAGAATCACCACCGGCCCTCTCCCACCATAAGGCAGCAAGTGGGGCGGACAAGACGTCACCTAGCCGAAACTGAGGGGCTTCGGGCTGGGGAGCCGTGGACTGCCGGCGAGAGATGGGGAGGTTGAGAAATCAGAGGGCCGAAAATTCTGACGGAGGGAAAAATTTTTAAAGAGAGATAATATGGAGAACATACTAATAGACTTGTAGTAATGATTTCCCCCCAAGTTCCTCCTCTTAGCTCATTATGACCCTCAATGAAATTATTTACAAAATAAATAAATAAATAAAATACTTTAAAAAATAAAATAAAAGGCCCTATTAAAAGACGGGCCTTCTCTTTCTATCACCTCTTCGTGTCGTTTAGGCAACACCAGTTGAACTTAAAAGGAAACAAAACCAAGAAACAAGACAGCCCCTCTTTCTCTAATTGTGCAAAGCAACATTTCCAAGAATTGTATATAACTATGCGTTTATGTTTGACAGGTAAATCCAGGCTAACCCACTAGTATGCCCACTCGTTTACCAATTTATTTAGGCTCATTATATTGCCCCTTTGACAAAATGGATGTTTTTTATTTTTCCCAACTCATTTTTTCGTGGCCAATCTTCAGATTTTGAGCCTTCTGGATAGACCCATTTTGTCTGAAGGAGGAATTTTGCATTGAAGGTACGATTTTTATGAGTTTTATTTTTTCGTTTCCTTTTTCTTCTTTGGAATTAGAGTGTCCTGGGGATCTGCCCCCGTTTGATTCTGCAATCTCGATGCTATTTTTCAGCTGATCTTTTGTTGGTTTTTGTCCTTAACTTGGTTTTCCGTTGCTTGATGGCTCCCTTCTTCGTTTAATAATCTCTTTCAGCTGATAATGAATCGTTGATAGAAAGAAAGAGAGAAAAGAGAGTGATCTGTTTTCAGGTTGGTTTACATAGATGTGTATGAAATTGCAGTTGCTTGGTAAAACAATGAAAAACAGAATAAAATTGAAATAGTTCCTCCTTGCATTGTATAACTTGATTGCCTTTCTTTCTTCATTTATTAGATCTTTTTAGTGTATCCATAAAAAGGGCTTTGTTCAAATCTGTGGTTGATTACTGTTTCAAATCATTTGATCTACATGTATTGCTGAAACTTGAAAGAATTTTGTGTATTATAGTTGTCTATGAACATTCAGTTCTGCTTCAAGTTATCATGTTACATATTTGCATCTCTGGAGAAGTTAATTTGTATGGATGATTATCATTTCTGGTGAAAAGATGCGTAATTTGTTTTTCTTTTGCTTGATCCATTTGGTTTTTGTTGCTGCCCTTGTTTCTTGTTTCGTTTCTCTGTCCTTTTCTGTCAGCATAGTTGATTTTCATCAGTTTAATATTTTTATTCCTTTTATGGTAAATCCTCTTTTAACAGTGCTTTCGTTGGAATCCATCTAACTACACGTGTCCGTGTAAGTTTCGATCTGGAAAAAAAAACGTGTCGACTTTCGATCGACAGAAATTAATGCTAATGTTTCACCCACTCCAGCTATTAAATGAGATGGCCGATAAGAACTTGCACTTGAGAAATGCTATTGATGCATCTGTAATCCACAATAATTTGTAGTTTTCATTTCTTGGGTAAGTGTAGCAACTGCAACGATCTTTTCGTGGAATTTACCATGTCTTAAGGAGATAAGTACAAGTTTTAGTCATTTGCATGGGCATTCAGCTTGATTTAGTTCTTCAAACTTCAATTCTATAGGAATTTCTCTAGTGCAGGTCTCAAAGATTCCTAGTCATGGAAGGAGAAACTTCATGGGTGAGCCATTGCTTTAGTAGTAACTCACCAAATCACAACATGGATTTCGACTCATTCTCGGATATCAACAAACTCGAAGCTGAAAACGAAACTCTACCCGTCTCCTTAGACTTAATCTTACCCGACGACCTCTTGGAACGCATACTGACCTACCTCCCAATATCCAGCATCTTCCGAGCAGGCTCCGTCTGCAAAAGATGGCACGATATAGTAACATCAAAAAGGTTCCTAACAAACACTTCCAACGCTTTGTATTCGCAGAAGAAGCCTTGGTACTTCATGTTCACCAGCTCAGACGAGCCCATCGGCTATGCCTACGACCCCATCCTCCGTAAATGGCACAACATCGAGCTCCCGTGCATAAACACTTCTAATCTATTCATAGCCTCCTCGTGTGGATTAGTCTGCTTCATGGACAAAGACGGCCGAAACGGGCCTTACATGTGCAACCCGATTACGAAATCTTGTAGCGGGCTGAAAAGTCCACCTGGCCCGAAATTCTCGGACTACGCCTCGCTGGCGGTGTCGGTCGACCGCGTTTCGTTCGATTACGAGGTCTCGGTCGTTAAGTGCAAGGAGATTCCCGGGAATTTTTTCCAGTGGGATTTGTCGATAAACGTGTACTCCTCGAGAGATGCCATGTGGACGACGGCTTTGAACGAGACGTTAGCGGGCTGGCGGGCCGGGGAAGAGAGTGTGATTTGCGGCGGGGTTCTATATTTCTTGATCTACTCTGTTGGGCCCGAGGCCCGTCATGGAGTCCTGGCTTACAATCTCAGGGCCCGGCCCGCGAGGGGGGCTTTGATGGGGAGTTTTGTGAATGTGCCGTGCGCTTTGACGTGCGGGCGTTTGATGGGCGTTGGGGGGAAGCTTGTGATGGTGGGGGGAATTGGGAAGGCTGATCGAGCGGGTATTATTAAGGGGATAGGTGTGTGGGCCCTGGAAGGGAAGGAGTGGATGGAAATGGCGCGGGTCCCGCATAAGTATTTCCAGGGATTTGGTGAGCTGGACGATGTGTTTGCCAGCAGTGGCACGGATGAGTTGATATATATACACAGTTATGGGTCGCCGATGCTTCTCGTTTTCGATGTGGGATTGAGGCAGTGGAAGTGGTCGCAGAAGTCGCCGGTCGCGAAGAAGTTTCCGCTGCAGCTTTTTACGGGCTTTTGCTTTGAGCCGAGATTGGATGTTGTGGCTTAGTTGCTTTGAGGAAATGAATCTTTGTGTTGTGTTGTTTTGTTGTTGTCGACGGTGGAGGAATGGTATGCGCGGTTTCTTCTGACTCTTATTATGACTATGTGTGTTTTTTTTTTTTGGTCTCTTTTGTTGTCCCTTCTTCTTACAGACGCTTTTGTTGAGATAATGGTGATTATAATGATTTAGGGAGAGGCTAATAGGTGGTTCACATCATATCATATATGGAGAATAATGTTCTTATTCTTTATGCTGGAAATTTGACTTAGAGTTGAAATGAATTTTGAGAAGTTGGAAGGATATTTGATCACGGGTTTTTTGTCTTCAGCTTTAATGTTTATTTGTGTGCTCTTTCGAAGTTTCGCTAAAGTTCAGCCTTCCAAGAGTACTCTTATGGTTACTTTCGAACGTGTGAGAAGCAAACACCAGTCCATTTTTATTCCGTGTTATGTTGAAAAAGGAAAAAAGAATGGTATTATGCATTTGACATGAAAGTTATAGTTTTGAATTTCTGATTGCTTGTAAACTCAGTATGTACATCTAACAAATTGAAAATTCAACCAATATTTTGTTGGAATTGATTGATTGGTTTGCCATTTTACATTTTCGTCCCTGTAATCAGTACATCATCAACATTTTCTTGTTTCATCAAAGCCCCTCTTCAAAGCATTATCTTCCAATATGAAAATGAGTGAAAAGGGAAGGGCACCAAATACAACAGACATTTGGTTGTTGTAATCACATGACATAACTAAGGTGTCTTCACTCTTCATAGATTTTGAATTGATCATTTCCGGTAAATATCTTCTATTAAGGTCTAGTTTGGATGAGTTTTCAAATTTTCCCTTATGGTGTGTTTGGTTTGTTTCTGACCATTGCCAACCAAATTTTTATTAGGTTAATTTGTCTGATAAAAACTTTTCATAGATTGAACAAAACGTGAAATTTAATTAGATACAAACTTTTAGTTGTGGTTGGTAAGTAAAGCACAAACTATGAAATGGTTTTGTTCGCTCTAACTAACATCAACAAAAGAATGGTTGGTCTTGGCCTAACCATAAGGCCAATGTAGTTCTTTTCGTAAATGTTATATCCTATAAAACAACAAACACAACTCCGATATTAAATATTACTATAAGATAAGATTTTATTTATTTATTTATTTTTTAATGAAGTATTACAGATTGATCAATTAGCGGCTAAAAGGAGATGGCCATTCAAAAAGATGTCTTAATAACAGTCGATTTTCATTGACCAGTGGAGGATGATATCATCCTTATCTGACCATTCATCACTATATGACCAGTTCTTGGCTCCACCACAAACCAATACAGACCCATAAATTTGTTTCCTCTTATTTTATTAAGACCTTCTTTTTGGGAATTTGAACTTCCCTTGGAATATGGATAATAACCAACATTAATTAATATTTGAAAAGAATAAAGTAATATTCAACATAACAATATCATGCAATTTATATGTATATATTTAAATAAAGATGTGCTTTGGTAATATAACCATCTTTAACAAGTGACATATTTTTCGGAGCAAAATATGCTTTACTTAACTTTTATTATATTATATATAGATTGTTTGTGGTGCAAAAACTGTATTATTAAAATCCACTCGTGAACAAACAATCCTAAGACTAATTTAACTTTAACATATAATATCATTATGGGAAATGATATTTTGATAAACAGTTGGAATTAGGGCTGAGCATGAGATTCGGAGAATTTCGATCCATTCAGAAAAGCAAATCGAAATTACTCCGAATCGAAAAATAACAGTTGACCGTTTGATTTTCTTCGAACCGAATCGAACAAAAAAGATGATTGGTACGGTTTCCATCTCATACCGTACGAAATCGAAAAACCGAAATTAAGAATCGAATTATAACATTAGATGTGTGTTATTAATATATTTTAGGTTAACTTTAATCCTATATAATCTGAGAATTTTTAAAATGCAAATAAAATATAGTAATAACAATTAAACTTCACTTAAATGTCATGCTTAGTATTACTTGATCTACAATTGAATTTTTCTTGTTATGAAAAAATGGTATGAAAGGTTAGTGAATATTTTTTTAACAAAAACCTATATTGTATTATGTTTGAATTTTAAATTTTCAATATTAGTTGCACAAATTTAGTATTAACTAAAATTTAGAGTTACTTTTAAAGTTGATTTCAAAATAAAATCTTTGATATGAGGAAGTATTGATGAATGTTGTTTTTTTAAAGCATATAAAATTAAATAATTAATATTTAGAGTTACTTCTACAGTTGATTTAAAAAAAAATCTCCAATATGATGAAATATTGATGAATGTTATTTTTTTGATGCATATAAAAATTAAAATATAACTAGGTAGTAAAAAAATTTAAAAAAACAAGAAATCTTCGATGACCCGAACCGAACCGTTTTGATAGTCCCGAATACCGAACTCAATCGAAAAATAAAAATCTCTGAACCGATCTGTTCCGATTTTTTGATACAATTCTAAAGATCAAATTTAGTTATCTCTGAATTTTGGTACGGTTCCGAAGATTTTTCTCAATCCCCGAACAGTACCGACTCATTCTCTTATGGAATTTCCAATGTGATTACATTTTGCCAAAGGTGCATTTTTTTCTCTTATGGCTATATTACAATTACAATCTATATAAAGTGGATCCATTTATTTTCCCATTCATGGCCATTAATAGTATCAAAATTTTATTCACAAAATTGAATTCCAATAACCATTTCATTTTTCCCATTTCAAATTCCATTTACTAGTATGTAACCCGTGCGATGCACGGGATGTAAAATTTGGAAGAATAATATAATCTCACGTGCATTAGGATCGAAATTGAAATCATTAAAATACATAGGAACATTGTTGAATCATAAAAAGTTCGGTAACAATCATAAATTATTAAAAACCTCCTTATACACAACATTATAAGTTTGATTATTTGATAACTCCTCATTATCACAGACTAATATTTTCAACCCCCTTCTATTATTTACACACGAAGCAGCAACATATAATTGACCGTGACTAAAAACGGGTACTTCAGGAAAAGACCAACGTGCGATAAAAAAAGAGTTTTTAAAAATTGAAAAGTTCTTTTTTAAAAATTGAAAAGTCAAGGCAATCAGTTAAGATTAATTAAAGGTCAAAGAATATCTGCTCCTTGAAATAAAGACGTGTGCTATCATTAACCAAATTTTTGGTTATTGATATAGAGTGGTTACCAAAAAAATAGAACGTGATAAGGACGCTTCATGAAAATATCAATGGGATAAGGTCATAACAGATCGCTATACATTTTAACTATAAAAGCTCATATAAAATGATTTAATTAGATGTGTGAAAATGACATAACTAATGAGAAGTGTGAAAAGGACATAATTAATGAAAAGTGTGAAAAGGACAAAAACTTACCAGTTTTGAAAAATATTTAATGCAAATCCGAAATTGATCATAATTTGACCTACTATTTTAGATAAATGTTAATTCTTATTATATAAGTATAGATTTAACTAATCTTCTTAATCTATATATATTGAAAAAGAGAGGTCAATAAATCCTTTTGGGAAAGTTTTAAAAAATTGGTCAACAACCCCATTGACTTTCCATTTGTAGAAACTAATTTAAAAATCCTTTCAAAATATATGGTTTTTTTTTCCTGTTTTTTAGGGATGGATATACCTTTAACGTGATAAGATATATACATGTGATTGCATATTTTGTTGTTGCATCCCAAAAATCATGGTATTTAAAATCTATCCAAATACAATCCATAATTATCTTATCACTTTTGTTAATAAAAAATTGTATAAAAGGATATTCACTACCACCATTACAACTCATCATTCACGAGTTCAGAGAAAAAAAAAATACAGAGAATAATTTTTCATCGCATATACAATATAATGCTTCCAGGCTGGGGTAAACTTGATATATAATGCTTCCAGACTGGGTACGTTAACAAAAGAAACAAACCTTTTTTTGCGTCTGAGAGCAGTCCGCATTATTGAAACCCATCACGAACGGGAGAGCTATAACGCATTTTCATGATGAACAGGTAATATTTACCTTTTTTATTTCAATTTTATATAATTTAGAAAATTATTTTAATTAATATTTATAACAAAGCATTATTGAAACCATCACGAACAGGAGAGTTGTAACGCATTTTCATGATGAACAGGTAATATTCGCATTTTCATGATGAACAGGTAATATTTACCTTTGTTATTTCAATTTTATATAATTTAGAAATTATTTTAATTAATATTTATAACAAACCTTTTTTGCGTCTGAGAGCAGTCCGCATTATTGAAACTCATCACGAGCAGGCTGGGGTACACTTCATATATAATGCTTCCAGACTGGGGTACGTTAACAAAAGAAACAAACCTTTTTTTCGTCTGAGAGCAGTCCACATTATTGAAACTCACGGGAGAGCTATAACGCATTTTCATGATGAACAGGTAATATTTACCTTTGTTATTTCAATTTTATATAATTTAGAAAATTATTTTAATTAATATTTATAACAAACCTTTTGAACAGGTAATATTTACCTTTGTTATTTCAATTTTATATAATTTAGAAAATTATTTTAATTAATATTTATAACAAACCTTTTTTGCGTCTGATAGCAGTCCGCATTATTGAAACCCATCACGGGAGAGCAGTCGGCATTATTGAAACCCATCACGAACGGGAGAGCTGTAATGCATTTTCATGATGAACAGGTAATATTTACCTTTGTTATTTCAATTTTATATAATTTCGAAAACTATTTTAATTAATATTTATAACAAACCTTTTTTTGCGTCTGAGAGCAGTCCGCATTATTGAAACCAAGCAGTCCGCATTATTCAAACCCATCACGAATGGGAGAGCTGTAACGCATTTTCATGATCAACAGATAATATTTACCTTTGTTATTTCAATTTTATATAATTTAGAAAATTATTTTAATTAATATTTATAACAAACCTTTTTTGTGTCTGAGAGCAGTCCGCATTATTGAAACCCATCACGAACGGGAGTGCTGTAACGCATTTTCACGATGAACAGGTAATATTTACCTTTGTTATTTCAATTTTATATAATTTAGAAAATTATTTTAATTAATATTTATAAATTTGTATCGTAGGTGCTTTCATTAAATGCATAATACATTATCCGAATATGAGAGAAACAAACTTTATATAAACTGAGAGCAGTCTAATTTTTGTAAAATATGTAAACTTTAAACGTATTTTATATATAAAATTTTATATACTTTTAAACATGTTAGTTGGACAAATTTTAAGGATATATATATATGTGTGTGCTAACTTTAAGTATATATATTTTTCTTATAAAATAGTCTAGACAAAATTGAGGTAATTTCATATTTTTCAATAATAATATAAAATATTTTAATACTTTCACATATGTTATATAATAGTCTGCGTATTCTTAATGTCTTTTGGTTGTAACACTGTTAACACATATAATATTAGATACTTTTAAACATATTAGATATTTTTTTTACTCATTCTTTAATATCTATGTGCATAAAAAGAGAATAAGATTTATAAAAAATTTTCCGGCAATATACTAAATGTTAGATAAAAATCTCATTTTATTTGTTATATAATATTTCGAGTTGCATTAATTTTGATTTGTATGTGTAAAATTGATAAATTAAGCATATGAAAAGGAACGTACGAATTACTGTAAAGATTTAAAAAATAAAAAATAAATCTAATTTTTGAATATTTTCTAAACGAATTTATGTCATAATTCGTCATAATTTTCCCACATCATGTCAATATTTATTTTATCTATACCAGGTAAAGGTAAATCATTATCTCAATATTTATTCTATATATTCTAAGTAAATCTTCTCATCTATCTCAACGGTCCGCAGGTAGTATTTCATACTTTTCTATTCATAATCAAATATACCAAACCTTCACAAATTTTACTTCACAAAGAAAGTGTTCAATAATTTATATTTTTTTTCCTTCTTTGCAATCCATTTATTTTTATTACATATATATAAATTATATCATTTTTAATATTTCACACGTTAAACATTTCAGGAAAATATACCATCCCGTGCATCGCACGGGTACTGTACTAGTTGTAGCTAAAGATACAAGTGGAGTTTTGAAACCCAGCACAAAACCTTGCATCTCTCTCCTCTGATACACTGATTTTCCATAGCCCTTAACGAGAGGATATTTGCGGAGAGCTTGCGTGAGGCTCAGTCATGAGGGATTCGGGTCTGGATCTATTCGACCCGAAAACCACCGGCGAAGACAGCTCGTCTCCTGGCGGTAGCCGTGACCCGGACTTTGGGTTCGCGTTCAACGACAGCAATTTCTCCGACCGGGTTCTCCGGATCGAGATTGTCGCGGATCCATCGGAGGCCCCATCGGAATCCGAGGCTTGCCAAACCCTAGCTGACTGGGCCGCGCGCAAAAGCAAACGGCGTCGCGGCGATGCTGCGAAGAGGGAGAACGGTGAGCTGCCTAGCATTTTAGGCTTTTAGCAATCTGAATTGTGAATAGGTGTTTAATTGTTTATCTGGGGATTTGAATTATGGCTTCGTGTCTGAAATGATTGTTCCTTTCCGTGGTTTGAGCCAATTGGGTCGGAAAACGAAAATAGATGAAACCTTGTTTTTTATCGTCTTGATCTCATGTATAAATTTATTATTAAAATTTGTTTTCTTAGTTGATTTATGTATACCAAGCTATATTTTATATGTTGTTATCTTACCCTATTATGTGTTTAAAAAATTACAACTTGGAGATACTTTGAGATTGATTTGGTAACAAAAAATTGTAACAGCCATAGATAGGTTTGCTTGTAAGTTTTAGGGATATGAGATCAGGATAGTTCTTTTCAGCAATTGATGAACTGAAGCTTCATAATACTGTTGAATATCTGTAAATTCCTGGGGAAATGGCTGGAGAAAATTTATAGGTATTTGATATATAGTGTTGAAGTCTAGCTACTTTATGATGAGCCTTGGGTGAAATGGCCTCTATAGCACGGGCGGGTAAATTTTGTAGAAACCAAAAGTAACTGTTGAAATAAGAGACCTCATCAGGCTGTTGTACTTGTGAATTTTGATATAGTTGTCTTAGTATTTAAGAACTTTTTGGATATGTTGTTTCTTGAAAATGGGCTTGTTCTTTTTTTTATGTGAATCTTTTTTCAAGTATTACTGTGGTATAAATGGTTGCTCAAGTATTCAGTTCCTTTTGGATTAGCCTCTACAAATGTTTTTTCAGGTCTAATCTTCGCTGTAAATGCTGTCTTTTATTACGTGTAAAATTTTCTGATGACCTTTGCCTTTGCTTTTACCTTTCACTCATATTTCTGACTTATGCATGTTCTTATGCTGGTATGGGTTGTGCTCATCTTAATCAGACATATGCCACTCGTTTGCAGCTTTGGATATCAACCAATGCCCTGAAGAGCAGATTTTAGATAGCCAGTCAGATGCTGAAGACGGTGGTGATGAGAATCCTGATGAGGAGGAAATCCTGTTTATTGAAGATTTACAATCAGGTAACGAATAAGTAAAAGTTCAAATTTGAGAATTTGTTTTCATTTGCCACCTCCATGTATTACTTCTGACTGAATCACTGCCTATTCTATTAAAATTGGGATTAGTTCTGGGATTAATTGATTTTGCTTGCACTAAATCCTACTCCTAAACCTTAAGCAACCATTGAAGTAGAAATGATAATCCATAGTTTTGTTTATGTTCTAACTTTTACTTGTATTTTTGTTTCTCTCTGTAGGAGATGAGGCTGCAAATAGTGATGATTCAATTGGGATGGAAGATGGTTCAAGACTCCTAAGAGTTAAAACTTTGCATATAAGCTCTCCCATATTAGCGGCAAAAAGTCCATTTTTCTACAAGGTACTGGTAGTGTTATCTTGTAATATTATTTTGCATTTGCAGGTGTTTAATTTATAACATGTTTCTTCTTCCTATTTTGCAGTTATTCTCTAATGGTATGATGGAGTCAGAACAGAGATACGTAACTCTGAGAATTAATGCCTCTGGTATGTCACCTGTTGCTTTTTATTCGGTGAATTTGAAATTTTGATTATTTATGTTAAACCTCATGACTAATTTTGTTCCTTCACCAATGAAACAGAGGAAGCTGCACTCATGGAGCTCATGAATTTTATGTACAGCAGTAAATTAAATGCCGACACAGCCCCTGCTTTACTGGATGTGCTTATGGCTGCCGACAAGTTTGAGGTGGCTTCCTGTATGAGACACTGCAGTCGTCTGCTAAGAAACCTCCCCATGACTACAGAGTCAGCATTACTGTATCTCGACCTTCCTTCAAGCGTTCTAATGGCTGAAGCAGTTCAACCACTTACTGATGCTGCAAAGCAGTTCTTAGCTTCTCGTTATAAAGATGTGTCAAAGTAAGTTCACCTGGCCCCCCTTTCTTGTTTTTCTTTACATGTGGAAGACAAAACATATCTCACAAATTTCACCTTTTATGATTAATATCAATATCTGTTGTATCTATTGCTTGAGTAAGTGAAAAAGAGATTACTCTTGGTTTGCAACGTCTATCAACTAATTCTACATTAATTACCAAGATGAAATAGTTATCTTTCTCAATCATATTATTATTACCCCTTGAGAAATTACAAAACAACCTTGTTGAGTATTGTATTTACGTCATAATATGCGAAGTTGAAATGAATTAAAGAGTGTATTTTAAGTTTACAAGATAGCTCATTTTTTTCCCTTTTTTAAATAAATTAAGAAATTTATACTTATAAATAATAAATTAACTAGTAGTCATCCAACACACGTGTAGTCACATGTATCTTAATTAAGTAATTTGTACTTATAATTTGTTTTGAAAAATAAATATAGAAGTTTTAATTGAAATTTTTTAAAAACTTATAATAAATTGCAATTTTATTTAAAATGACATTTATCACCTCTAAAACTTGCTCGACCTATATTATAATAATATTTCTAACTAATCAATTAATAGACTTAAAGATAAATTTATTTCATCGATAAATAACAATTTCATATTCCAAATAGGATGAATAGATATATAATTTACTTTTTATAACAATAGATATAATTAAGTTTTTATTTTGTGTATGCAATATAGGTGTCCCATCGATGATCATAAAAAAATGATTAATGAAGCATATCATATATGAAAATTAATAAAAGAGTTATTAAGTTTTAAAATATATCCATAATTTAAGTTGGTCAAGCGTTTTTATAATTTTAAAAGTCTTATCAATAAAAGTTTAGGTCTACATGTACTATTCCAACGCAGCAAAAATTGACATATTGAATTATGAACCCCAAAAACTGACATATAGGATTACGAAACACCAGAAACTGATAGTTCAATTGAGAGAATGGGATGAATAGATGCCGTATTTAAATTATAAACTTCTTCACCGCTACTGACCTCGACCCTTGTTTCACATCACGAGCACAGATACCAAGACGAGGTCATGAACCTACCACTCGCCGGAATCGAATCCGTCCTCTCGAGCGACGACCTTCAAGTACCCTCAGAGGATGCAGTTTACGACATCGCCCTCAAGTGGGCCCGAAACCACTACCCGAAGCCAGAAGAGCGCCGCGAAATCCTCTGCACGCGCCTCGGCCGCTACATCCGTTTCCCCCACATGACCTCACGCAAGCTTCGCAAAGTCCTCACCTGCGGCGACTTTGACCGCGAATTCGCCACCAAATCCGTGCTCGACGCCCTTTTCTTCAAGGCGGAGGCCCCTCACCGCCAGCGGGCCCACGCATCCGAGGAGTCATCATCCTCTTCGGGCCGCAGGTTCGTCGAGCGGGCCTACAAGTACAGGCCCGTTAAGGTGGTCGAGTTCAGTTCTCCCCGCCAGCAATGCGTGGTGTATTTGGATCTCAAGAAGGAGGAGTGTGGGGCCCTTTTCCCTTCGGGCCGGGTTTACTCTCAGGCCTTCCATTTGGGTGGGCAAGGGTTTTTTCTCTCGGCCCATTGCAATATGGATCAGCAAAGCGCGTTCAATTGTTTTGGGCTTTTCCTGGGGATGCAGGAGAAGGGCTCGGTTTCGTTTGCTGTTGATTATGAGTTTGCCGCCAGGTCGAAGCCGCTGGAGGAGTATATCAGCAAGTATAAGGGCAATTATGTCTTTACAGGTGGGAAGGCGGTTGGGTACCGGAATTTGTTCAGCGTTCCGTGGGAGTCTTTCATGGCCGACGACAGTCCTTATTTTATCAATGGTGTGTTACATCTTCGGGCGGAACTCACTATTAAACGTGAGGTTGTGGCTTAGGAAGATGGATGAAAAAGAGGGAAGAGAAAATGGTTCTTTTTACATTTTGGAAGAGGGTTGGTGTGCTTTTATATTTTTGCCTGTGTTGCTGGGTTTTGTGTAGTTTCGTGCTTTGTACTTGGGAGCAGTTAAGCTCGAGCATGGGCTGCTGTCTGCTGACATTTAGGGCTGACTGTATGTGTATACTATACACAAGCCATTTGAATATCATACAGAGATCATGTGGGTGTTTTAAGTTATGTAAATAAGTTAAAAAAGACCTTTATTTAATAGAATGAGAACTTGGTGAAAACTTATTTTTCATTGAGATGTGTTTGTGCCGATTCATAATATCAATTTCTATGTTGGATACTTGATATTAATGCTTCAAGTCATGTATGAATAATTATATCCAATTTTATAAATGAAAATTAAATTCTCTATTCAATTTAATAGAAAAATGATAAACTATTGTTTATTAATTAAATAAATAATTCTTACATAGAAACTAGTTGAACGGTTATTCAATGATATATTTTTAGAAATCATTTTTTATTTTTTTTTAATAAAAACTTGAAGAATTTTGGGTAGTTACATAATTTAGTCCTTAAGCTCAAAGCATTATGCGGAAATTATATACAAGGAATGAGGCACGGAACGTTACTGAACGTGAACGTCACGCTATCGATTCAACGAAACATGAAAATTTTTTCTCTACCTTTTGAAATAGGAGAAGTAAAGAGAGAGAGAAGAGGATTATATATAAATAGAGGAAAAATATTATATTTCACGACTTCAATAATCCCTCTCGCATAGACGAATTAGTGCCTTCGAGACGAAAAAAACAAAGAAAAACAGAAATCAACCCCAGAAAAATCTCAGCGGTCGGATCTAGGGTTTGAGGAAAAAAGATGCCGAAGAACAAGGGAAAGGGAGGGAAGAACCGGAAGAGGGGAAAGAACGAAGCCGACGACGAGAAGCGTGAGCTCGTTTTCAAGGAGGACGGCCAGGAGTACGCGCAAGTGCTCCGCATGCTCGGTAATGGCAGATGCGAGGCCATGTGCATAGACGGTGTCAAGCGCCTGTGCCATATCCGTGGGAAGATGCACAAGAAGGTGTGGATCGCCGCCGGTGATATTATCCTAGTCGGCCTCCGCGACTATCAGGTAATGGTTTTAATTTGTTCCTATCGTTTTTGTGTGTCTTTCTTTTTTTCTTTTGAGGTTCATGATATTAATTTTGACATCTATGATTTATTGAGATTGTGAATGGTTTTGCTCTGTGGTTTAAGCCATAAGTTTTCCCTATCCCAAGATCATGTTTTTTTTTTCCCTTCCTTTTGTTTATCTGATACCTGTCTGTAGTTTGAGCTGAATATTTTTCCCTTCCAGTTTATCAATTTCCCCATTCCTCTTTTATTTGTGTAGAGTTAGTGATGGGTCCTTTCAGTTATGGATGTTTTGTGCTTTGCTGGATTTTTCCTGTCAAAACTATTATTTTTTATATAGTTTTGTTTGTTTGGTTGATTTGTATATATGTGTAGCTTTGTGTGATAATTCCCCATTTATTTTCATCAGCTCTTTCCATTGATTATGATATAATTTGGTGTCCTTGACTTGTGCAGTTTGAAGTGATTTTTAGGCACAGAGATAGTTATAAGTACTAGTAACGTTTTGAGTTGTTAATTGTGGTTTGAGCTGATTTTTAGGCACAGAGATAGTTATAAGTACTAGTAACTTGATGAGTTGGGGAGAAGCATTTCTGTAATGGCTTTTTCTTATTTGTGCCTTGAAANNATTAACTTAAGATACATTAATCTTTCTTTATGAGAAGGTTTCTACGATTGATTATGTATTTGAAAACTAGTTTGCTACATAAGGTGCAGTCGAATGTTTATTTGTCTAATGCAACTGTAATATTCAGACCTGCACTTTCCATAACCACAAAACAGGAACTTTGGAATAATTTTTCAAAACGAATTCGACTTATGAAGCTATAACCATACAAAAATATTGGTCCTAATGTCTGAGAATTTTCATGAAGCTCCATACAAATGAATGAACATATCCTTTTAAGTGAGCATGTATCCCACATGGTGTAACAATTGACTATGTGGCCACATATGAAGGTGACTTGCTCTTTCGTTTTGTGCTAATAGGATGACAAGGCAGATGTGATCTTGAAGTACATGCCAGATGAAGCTAGGCTATTGAAGGCTTATGGAGAGCTTCCAGAGACCACTAGGCTTAATGAAATTACTGGTCTTGACGAGGAGGATGATGGTCCTGGTGATGATTACATCGAGTTTGAGGATGAGGACATTGACAAACTCTAGAGAGCCTTGTGAGAGAATTCAAATTTGGTTTAAGAGTTACCTGTTGCTGCCTGTTGCCTCCTGCCGGCTCTTTT